GGAAACTATTCCTGCTAGTGTAAGTGTGTCTTTAGGAGTTTAATAACAAGACTCCGCGTTTTCACGGGATGTTTCGAATGTACAAGTGCTCGAAGACAAGCGGTTCATCGTGTACAGCTTACCGATCAGCCTGTCAAATATTGTGGACGTACTGATGTCGACGCCAAAGTCGAACATGATCCTGTTCCTCATCGCTCGCGGCGTGTATGTACAATTGTCGTTGAAATACTCTTCGAGTGCGGATACGACCTATGGCGTGAGGCCATTGACGGCAAGTGCCCCTGGTTTCATCATCCGGCTACGCCATGGTGTGGCTTCAACTGGCGTCTACGACTATAGATGTATTACTAGCTAACGCAAGAGCAATCCTGTTTTTCGGCAAGCTGGCGGTACTTGTGATGACCCCTTCCGGAGTCAGTCGCGTGTGGTGCGTATGACGTTTACACTGCAGATTGTTGCTAAAGCTATTCAAGAGGACGCATTGGTCCGCGATGAAAGGTGTGCATCTTGCGACTTTTCCTATATGCATTCCGACCTGGCGGAGCTGGTCAAGAGCCACACCAAGACTACACGACAGATGTGCGGGCTACAATAGAGGAACAATTCCCTGGAACTATTCCTGCTAGTGTAATTGTGTCTTTGGCGTTTAATACCAGACTCCGCGTTTTCACGGGATGTTTTGAATGGGCAAGTGCTCGAAGACAAGCGGTTCATCGTGTACAGCTTACCGATCAGCTTGTCAAATATTGTGGACGTACTGATGTCGACGCCAAAGTCGAACATGATCATGTTCCTCATCGCTCGCGGCGTGTATGTACAATTGTCGTTGAAATACTCTTCGAGTGCGGATACGACCTATGGCGTGAGGCCATTGACAGCAACTGCCCCTGATTTCCATCGTCCGGCTACGCCATGGTGTGGCTTCAACTGGTGTCTACGACTATAGATGTATTACTAGCTAACGCAAGAGCAATCCTGTTTTTCGGCAAGCTGACGGTACTTGTGATGACCCCTTCCGGAGTCAGTCGCGTGTGGTGCGCATGACTTCTACACTGCAGATTGTTGCTAAAGCTATTCAAGAGGACGCATTGGTCCGCGATGAAAGGTGTGCATCTTGCGACTTTTCCTATATGCATTCCGACCTGGCGGAGCTGGTCAAGAGCCACACCAAGACTACACGACAGATGTGCGGGCTACAATAGAGGAACAATTCCCTGGAACTATTCCTGCTAGTGTAATTGTGTCTTTGGAGTTTAATACCAGACTCCGCGTTTTCGCGGGATGTTTTGAATGTGCAAGTGCTCGAAGACAAGCGGTTCATCGTGTACAGCTTACCGATCAGCCTGTCAAATATTGTGGACGTACTGATGTCGACGCCAAAGTCGAACATGATCGTGTTCCTCATCGTTCGCAGCGTGTAGGTACAATTGTCGTTGAAATACGCTTCGAGTGCGGATACGACCTATGGCGTGAGGCCATTGACAGCATGTGCCCCTGATTTCCATCATCCGGCTACGCCATGGTGTGTCTTCAACTGGTGTCTACGACTATAGATGTATTACTAGCTAACGCAAGATCAATCCTGTTTTTCGGCAAGCTGGCGGTACTTGTGATGACCCCTTCCGGAGTCAGTCGCGTGTGGTGCGTATGACGTTTACACTGCAGATTGTTGCTAAAGCTATTCAAGAGGACGCATTGGTCCGCGATGAAAGGTGTGCATCTTGCGACTTTTCCTATATGCATTCCGACCTGGCGGAGCTGGTCAAGAGCCACACCAAGACTACACGACAGATGTGCGGGCTACAATAGAGGAACAATTCCCTGGAACTATTCCTGCTAGTGTAATTGTGTCTTTGGCGTTTAATACCAGACTCCGCGTTTTCACGGGATGTTTTGAATGGGCAAGTGCTCGAAGACAAGCGGTTCATCGTGTACAGCTTACCGATCAGCTTGTCAAATATTGTGGACGTACTGATGTCGACGCCAAAGTCGAACATGATCATGTTCCTCATCGCTCGCAGCGTGTAGGTACAATTGTCGTTGAAATACTCTTCGAGTGCGGATACGACCTATGGCGTGAGGCCATTGACAGCAACTGCCCCTGATTTCCATCGTCCGGCTACGCCATGGTGTCTCTTCAACTGGTGTCTACGACTATAGATGTATTACTAGCTAACGCAAGAGCAATCCTGTTTTTCTGCAAGCTGACGGTACTTGTGATGACCCCTTCCGGAGTCAGTCGCGTGTGGTGCGCATGACTTCTACACTGCAGATTGTTGCTAAAGCTATTCAAGAGGACGCATTGGTCCGCGATGAAAGGTGTGCATCTTGCGACTTTTCCTATATGCATTCTCGACCTGGCGGAGCGGTCAAGAGCCACACCAAGACTACACGACAGATGTGCGGGCTACAATAGAGGAACAATTCCCTGGAACTATTCCTGCTAGTGTAATTGTGTCTTTGGAGTTTAATACCAGACTCCGCGTTTCCACGGGATGTTTCGAATGTACAAGTGCTCGAAGACAAGCGGTTCATCGTGTACAGCTTACCGATCAGCCTGTCAAATATTGTGGACGTACTGATGTCGACGCCAAAGTCGAACATGATCCTGTTCCTCATCGCTCGCGGCGTGTATGTACAATTGTCGTTGAAATACTCTTCGAGTGCGGATACGACCTATGGCGTGAGGCCATTGACGGCAAGTGCCCCTGGTTTCATCATCCGGCTACGCCATGGTGTGGCTTCAACTGGCGTCTACGACTATAGATGTATTACTAGCTAACGCAAGAGCAATCCTGTTTTTCGGCAAGCTGGCGGTACTTGTGATGACCCCTTCCGGAGTCAGTCGCGTGTGGTGCGTATGACGTTTACACTGCAGATTGTTGCTAAAGCTATTCAAGAGGACGCATTGGTCCGCGATGAAAGGTGTGCATCTTGCGACTTTTCCTATATGCATTCCGACCTGGCGGAGCTGGTCAAGAGCCACACCAAGACTACACGACAGATGTGCGGGCTACAATAGAGGAACAATTCCCTGGAACTATTCCTGCTAGTGTAATTGTGTCTTTGGAGTTTAATACCAGACTCCGCCGTTTTCACGGGAAGGTTTTGAATGGTGCAAAGTGC